CTGGAGAAGGATATCATGTTTGGTAAGGTGAGGGTCAGTGAAAAAGAGGAAGACCCCCAACAACATGGACTGGCCAAGTGGCAGCATCGATGGACTCAACATTGGCAACAGTAGTGAGGTTGGCCCAGGATCAGGCAGTGTTTCGTTCTGCTGTGCATTAAGGTCGCTACGAGTCGGTACCAACTCGATGGCACCTAACAACAACCTACCTACACTCCACCTCCAGGACTAATAATTTATGGTTTCAAACCAGAAACAGAACAATTGCACGAATTGGGAATGGGCTGCCTAACTGCCTTCCTGACTGTGAGGAATTCAGACGATGATTTCAGGTCTATAGTATACAAAAGGCCTGGAAAAACCCACATGGACATCTTACTTACAAATGTCTTTTCTTGAGTCCGTTTTCCTAGTTTCACAATTATGTGTGATTTTACACACATCTGAACATGTATGTTATCTGCAGTTCTAACGAACATTTTCCTGTCATGAGAGATTTTTTTAATTGAATACACGAGAAAGGTAACGTAAGTGACAGAGCAATCATGACTACTCACAAGTGTTCTAGGTTAGAGGGTTATTTATTATCGCTCCTTTTCCTCCCAACATCCATACGTTTTGACTTAAAGTCTTTTGAAGGCATCTTTCATTTTTTACTTTGTATTAGTTACTTACTTATTTTACTTCCGCTCTGTACTAGTCCCTGAATATACAGGGCTTGTTAAGTTATCCATCTTTTCTGCCCCACAGGACTTCACAAAGGGCATGAAATAAATTTCTGATGGGTAAAAGAAAGATCACACTAGTAAAAAACTCTTAATGTGGATGCAACATTTAGTTTTTCCAAAAGTAATAGAAAGACAGCTGTTCTAGGAACCAGCATAGTAAATTCAAGTACTTCTGTTTGTAACGATTTATTTATACTTGGACATAAAGCAATCTACAGTAATCAAATAAGGTAAAGAAGCTGAGTTCATGCCCACTCAACACCTTCATCCTTTGTTACTAGGTTTCAAAACTTAAATAACAACTCCAATACTTTTTTCTGGCTTTCACTCAGCTTCCAATGTAGACTGGGGCTTTGCTAAGCTGAGAGAAGTGTAAGGTATACCCCAGGAAAGTGGAGTGCTGGTTTTTCTGCCTTGTCCCATTGTGTCCCCACAGGTTAAGCATCACAAAACTTTCAACAAGAGATTCTACTGAGGCTTGTCATCCTAACCTGTAGGGTCTGAAAAGACAGTTGTCAAATGGCACACTTTGGGTAAGAACCTGTATCATATAGGAAGAAGTGACGAATTTAGATTTTGTAAAATGTTCTGCAAGTTTGAATCATCTGCTTTCTTCAGATGAAGCTCCTTATTCAAGACTCAGGCGAAAATAAGACAAAAAAGTACACAAAAACAGAAATGTTCGTTATTTTTGCCCTTCCTTCTTCTCTTTGCTTCCGGGGTTAGATAGAATGCCTTCTTCGGTGGCACGACATATGCTGGTACCCATGTTGCCTTTCCTGCAGTCTTCAAGCATTGGAGGGCAAGGGTGTCTTTGTTCTCTGATTCTCAAGTGTTTCCCACATGCAAGTGCAGAGTTGAATTAAGGATGGAGTCATCATTTCCCTGACTGAGGGAGGAAATTGGGAGAGGTTGTGGGCTAACACAAATAGCTTTCTGAATTGTTTCAAAGGCCTTCCCTTGGTTAGGAGAAAATGTCCTCTAAAGTTTCTTGGCTTTGTTTATCGTTTTATTTTTTCTTATACAAAAATGGTACCAAGAGCAAAAGGAATGAAAGACAAATAAATGGATTTTATTCTAACTCAGTGAAGTCTTAGCCTGTCCTGGCTTCCAGGTGGATCTGGCTGGACCCAGTAGAGGCTCTTGAGTTCTAGGGATAGAAAATCAAACCTAAGTAGGTAACTTTTTTTCTCTTTCTTTGGTAAAGTGATCATTACTGGGAAGTCAACCAAACTGCCTTGGGTGCCCCAACTCATGATGTCCATGCATAATGAGAACCACAGGGTTCTCAATGGCTGCTTTGTTGGAAATAAATACTCAGGCCTTTCTTCCTAGCTCTCTTAGTTTGCAGCTCCACTGAAAACTGTACAGCATCACAGCAACACTTAGTAGGTAGCAGCTACACAGGAGGGGCATTGGCTGGGAATCAAATCCAGGCCTCCTACAAGGAAGGCGAGAATTCTCACTGCCGTCAAAAGAGACCTTAGAAATGACTAGTCCATTCCAACCCCCTTCAAGCCAAGGAGGAGAAGCCCTGGTGGCTCCGTGGTGAAGCCCACCAGCTAGCTGCTCCAGGGAAGAAAGATGTGGATGTCTGCTGTAAAGATAACAGCCTTAGAAACTATGGGGCAGTTCTACTGGGTCCTGCAGGATGGCTACGAGTTGGAATTGACTTGGTTGCAACACGCTTGGTTGTGGTGCTACAGATAACGAATTGGCAAGGGGGAGGTGCTTTCTCAGAAATCATTCTCACCTGAATAAAATCTACCTTAACTCACCTTTAGGGTGTTGGAGGAGTACCATGACAAGGGATGGAGAAGCAAAAGGAAAGTAGGTCTTGAGTGCAAACTTCCACTGCAAAAGAACCCAAAATATAAAACAACGTGAAGCATTAGGATCTAAAGGGGCCTAAAATCAACATCACAAAATCTTGAGTCCTTCTGCCCCAAAGATCCACTAGGACTAACATGGACAGAATGTTTTCTTAAGCATTTATTAAAATGATACTGCCAATAATCTTGTAAATATGTTCCAGAAAAATGAACCTTATTAACATCACCTTCTTGGACTTAAGAAAACAAAAGTTCTGCTCCTATTGACTGTGGATGAGTTCTCTGCCTCACTGAACCCAATTACATACAAGTTGTTGTTGTTAAGTGCCATCAAGTCAGTTCAGATTCATAGAAACCATAAAATCTATGGCAGCGGTTCTTTAGAGGGAGCAAGGCAACTAATGGGACAAGGGAGGGGTAGATGGAAGCTACTACCAGAAGTCTTGGTTTAGATACTGGATTCATAGATATCCATTTCATTAAGAATGAATGAACAATAAAAACAAAGAAATAAGAGTGCCATGTATGGACCAAGTATGCCACAGTGCCATGCATCAAGTGTTATCATTAGTCTAAAAACAGGCACTCAAGGTATGCTTTTATAAAGGCAGGGACCAATAAATGAGAACAGCTGTCAATTACAAAGACAGATGATCAGTGTAGCTCTAGGATGAGAAATGACATGTGTGAGGGATTATGTTACTGACCCAGGAGGCACTGGCAAAGGTAAGAGACGATCGCTCTCCCACAGTGAGCCGAAGGTGAGGGTGAAGAGTGCCTGTTACTTTTAGGTTATCCCCTGGCTTACTCCAGGACTCAGGGTGTGGCCCCACACCACCAGACCCATGTGGTCTGGTCATGGCACTGTTCTAAATCAAAAGCAGCTGTAGCTCCATCCCAAACCCATAGGACCCAAGGCCATGACACAGACTCGGTCACAACATTAATAAACAAAACAGACTTGTGATGCTAAAAAGCGACACTCCCTTCATCAGTGTTCATGAGGTCAAGGCAGAAGCCTTCTGGAGAACTGAGGTCAGTTCCTAACTGGAGAGACAAAGACTATGCAAGGAAGGAGAAGAGGTACTCATAGTTACACCCGGAAATAACTGCAAGGGTCAGCCCGTGCCTGTCAGCAGAGCTCTCTGCCTGAACTCCAAGCTGAGCAGCATTGATGTTCCAGCCTAGGTATTCCCCAGGGAAAGAGAGGATGGGAAAAGATAAGTCATAAATATTTATCACTGCCTTAAAAAGTAGAAGCACCTGCTAAGTGCTGAGCGGCTTCTTTGCCATGTGCTGTGTGGGATTTTAGTGGCCCTGAGCACCAGGCCCTGCTCTCACAAGTGAAACTGCAGAAAGTACCCGAGGAGGGTATCATGCCCAACAGGCAAAGTGCCAAATCAATACCAAGTCTGACTATTAGAGTCCTTGGGTGGTGCATTAGTTAATGCTCTTGGCTTTCTAACCAACAGATGAGTGGTTTGAGTCCACCCAGACCTGCCTCAGAAGAAAAGTATGGTGATCTACTGATCAAAACCCAGCCATTAAACACCCTATGGAGCACAGTTCTACTCTGATATGCATGGGGTCACCAAAAGTTGGAATGGACTCAGTGGCAACTGCTGTGTTTTGTCTGGTTTGTGGTTATTAGAAAGAAAAGCTAATTAAACTGCCTAAAGGTGAACATATCTTCTACACTCATTCTTATTGGTCAGCAGTCTTGACCAATGATGTTTGATTCTATGTGCCAGCATGGCTAGGTATGGTGTTCACTTGCTGGTCAAACTGGTCACCTTATGCACCGCAAAATGAACCCAGCCCAGTCCTGTGCCAACCCCATACCTGGCTGCACATCAGATGGTTGGGAGTCATAGGGTGTTCACTGGCTGATTTTCAGATCACCAGGCCTTTCTTCCTACTCACCCTTAATGTGGAAGCTTTGTGGTTCCGTATCATAGCAATATGCAAGTCTCCACTGACAGACAGGTGGTGGCTGCACTGAGGTGCACTGGCCAGAAATCAAACCCAAGGCTCCTGTGGGGATGATGAGAATTCTACCACGGACCTACTGTCTTTAAGTCTGTCAGTCTTACATAAAGCAGATCACCCTCCATAATGTGAAGGCCCTGTCCAATCAGCTGAAGGCCTTAAGAGCAAAATGGGAGTTTCCCCTAGGGTGTTTACTACATACAGATTAAATGAACATTCTGCTAGAACTCCTTTCCTTTTCACTCTTCTGGTCACCTAATGCATGGATTTGGGGATGCAAGTTTCCAGGAATCTCCAGTCTGTCACTTGCCAGCCTCCCATGTCTCTGTGAGCCACTTCCTTCAAATCTCTCCATATCACCAGCTCTGTTCCTCTAGAGAGCCCTGGTAAGACAGCCCCAGCCTTTACCGATGGCCCCTGGAGTCTGCCTCCCTACAGCCCCAGACCTGACCTTCCGTCCACTGCCTGTATCTAACACACACTTCTTGCGTCCACAGTTCCTCCTCAGTAATTATTCACATTTTTCATGATCATTCTTACTGCCTCCTTTCCCTCCTGGAATCCAATTCACATCTGGGTCTTAGACAGGAATGGAAACTCAATAACAATCAAGAATGTTCAATATTGTTTTGTAATAAGTGGCATTTCCTGACAGGGAGAGGCAGAAGCAGTCTGAGGCCCACTCCACAGTCAGCCTGCCCTGTGCTCTGCCACACACACACTGCTGACAAGTTGATTCTGACTCATTGTGACTCTAGAGGACAGAGTAGGTTTTACGGGAACAGATGGTGGTGGGTAGATGTCCCTGGGCACCAAGGAATGGCTTAGACAGGAACTTCCTTGATTTATTTTCAGTGAGGATGGTTTCACCTTTGATGGGACATTCATTTGGAAGATTCATTCATGAGCAAATCAGTCCCTCAAAATCCTTGAAAATACAGTGCTCCTTTTTGGTAATTAACCAAATGTTCTTTACCACCTTTTTTTTTTCCTTTGAGAAGAATGGATTATATACAACAAAATGAACCTGCTTATTTTCTTTCTCCAGAGCTTCTACAAAGCATCGTGTGAACACCTGGAGAGCAGCCAGTACTTCTGTGGAGCCATCGCTTTCCAAGAACACACACCTGAGCAATGAAAGTCAAATGACGACAAAGTTAATGTCTAACCTGGAACATACGAATGTGACTGGGAAAGATGGAAATACTCTTTTTTTTTTTTTTTCGTTCCCCTCCCTCCCCTCACCCACCCCCAACATCCCAATAATCAACTAAGAATCCCCCCTTTAGTATGGGTTCATTCCCTTAGTCTTTTACAGTAGTGGTCCTATGCAGTATTTCTCTTTTTGTGACTGACTAATTTCACTCAACATAATGCCCTCAAGGTTCATCCATGTTATGCGGTGGCTTGCAGCTTCCTTGTTGTTCTTCAAGGTAGCATAATATTCCATTAAGATGGAAATACTCTTTTGTGCCATAAACTTCAGCAGTATCATCTCACCAGACTTCAATCCTGGTGTGAAAGGCAGAGTACTGTATCTGCCCCACCCCTCCCTCTACATTTTTAAATCCCATGAGGAAGAACTCTCTTTTGAGGTTCTTAAACTAATAAACACTGCACTCCAATGTACGTTTCATCGCTCTTTACAAAGATTTGAGCACCATGTGCTTGGACATGAGGCAGGAATAGACATTCTGCTCTTGTAGGGAAAGGAAGAATTCCCCAAAAGGGAGCAATGGCTTTTCAAGTTCACCCAGCAAAGTGGCAGAAAGTATCTGCTTTGGCTTCCATGCATTTTCATACAACAAACTTTCCTGATGAGTATTTAAACAAAGAACCAACTCAAATGACAAAAAAGCACTGATGTGTTCTTTGAAACTTACCACCTTCTGGTTTTACCTGAAGGTGGTAAGTTTCAAAACCAGTCCAAGTGGTGGGTTATCTGCAGCAGTCAGAATTCCTTTCTCTGGAGACTACACTGCTGTGGGAGGGGCACCTGAGAGCAGCATGCCTGGCTGCACTGGCACCCATGCTAGGAGTTATAATCACTTCCTGGGACACAAGCTTCCCCAGCAGGGTCTAGTCTTGGGACTCCATGGTTACAATACCTACTAACTGCCAGCCACAATCCAACCAGTATTTCCTAGCTCTTGTTACCTACAAATCCAATTTGTTTCCCAAGAAGTATTGGTATTTTCAAAATAAAAGTTAATGTGCTGTGAGATAAACATGCACAATTTATTTTGCCTTTTGGGAGAGCACTGTTTGGAATGGCTTTATTTTTCTTGGTTTCCCTTTGTTTCTAAATCCTTTTAAACAGAATGGTCAGCCCCCATGTGGTGAAGGGAATACACTGCTACTCTTTATTCTGAGCTGAGAAAACTCCTACATGAATATTTAATTCAGTTGTACTTTTTCTATGATTTTATTAGAATAAAAAAGGTTAAAAAAAAAAGGAAGCTATCTTAATTCTTTCTATTAAGTGCAGTTGAGTCAGTATTGACTCATAGCAACCCTGTATTGAGTTTCAAAGGAGCAGCCAGTGAGTTTGAACCGCTGACCTTGGAGTTTGCAGACCAGGGTTGATCCTACAGCACCACATCAGGTGTCCATGTTAATTCTTTGACATTGGCTTTTAGATATATGTTAACTTTAGAATTTTTACCTCTGACTACAAAAATGTTCAAAGGAATGTAAAGAAATCAGAAACACTAATTTCCCCATGATACCACCATAGAACTTTCTGTTTGTGTATGGAAATAGAGCATTTTTAGATGGATCACCAGCAGAAAAGCCTCACATTTACCTGAACATCTCGTCTACGATTCTGAAGATGGCAGGATGACAGGCTGCTTGAGGCTGCAAAGGAAAAGACCACCAGTAAGTAAAATATCACCAACAGTTCATTTAAAATGACTTGTTATTTTCAAGTAAAAGAACTGTCCGGAGCTGTTGGCAACTAGAACATGGACACATCCCTTTGGGTGTGATAACAGCACACACACACTACACTGGCGTTTCCTGGGAAGAGCACAGGGCACCGATACAAACAGACCTCCTCTGCAAAGGGGATACAGGCGGCGTCACTCCTCCTGATATTCTTTCATATGCTTGCATTTTCTATATGCCCATCTGATCCAGAGGACTCAGTAAGTAGCATGAACATTTTAAAAATACCCTCTGTCAGTACGCCATGTGGAGACAGCCTGACTATAGCTTTGGTGTCTCAGAAGCACCAGGTCTGGGTCAGTATCTTTTTGTTCCTACTTACTAAGTATACGAAGGCCACTGGGTACATTCATTTACTAACCTAAGGTTGGCGGCTAGAACCCACCCAGCAACGCTGGGGAAGAAAGGCCTAGCTATCTGCTTCTGTAGACAACAGTCAAGAAAGCCCACCCATGACACCTGGATCGTCATGAGTCAGAACCCACTGGATGGCCATGGGTTTGGTTTTTTGGTTTATTATCTAACAAGTGCATAATAAAGTAGAATTCTCACTAAGGAAAGAACTCTCCATAGTAACAGCATGGCACTGTGGTGTACTGCACACTTAGCAGCTTAAGGTATTTAGGATGAAAAAGGATTGATGTAAAAAAAAGAAAGATACTATCATCTTGAATCATGAAAGCTGTCATTAGACAGTATTCTTTGAGTAGTTTTATGATCAGCTCTGAGGGCTGTACCTCTGTAGACTGTGGCCTCCCATATAGCCCGGTTAGAGATTACAGTAACTCTTACCCAGGTGCTGTATCTTTTACCCACAGCTCAATGCAGGAGATTAAACTAGACAAACATACCTATCTGTGTTCTAAAATAGATATTTTATCCCAAAGTTTGTGGATTAAGGTCTATAGGATAATTCTTGGGGTCATAATGTGTTTGCTTTAGGAAACAATTATTCATAACCCCCTCACCGAGGAAAAGAGACAGGATATTCTTTGCTTCTCGAGTTTTCACCTACTGTCTCCCATTCCAGTCTGGGTGTGCGCTTTGTAACATTGAGCGTGTGCCATCTAGTGTTCACACACCTCTACTGCAGGAGGCCACAGAAGGCTCCCAGGCAAGAAATGCCACTTGTGAAAATGATGGAATTCCCTTTTAATTATCTGAAGGAGTGAGATTTGCAATTTGTAGATTACAAATGTCTAGTCTTGAAATTAATCAGGGGGTTAAACACCATTCTTCTCTCCCACACTCCCTAATCCTTTGTGGATGGGCATGTTTTTATCTGAAAGAAACCAAATAGAAATTCTCTTAAGACTAATTCACTGTCTACTCTGAATGCCATGGTCCCACCAAGCAGAGGCAGATTGTTTCTTGGCTTTGATCTTGGGCAAGTCAGTTAATCTTCCTGCTTTCTAGCCTTACCGTAAATAATAACAGAGATGCTAACAGTTATTAAGATATCATTGGATATATGCCCAGAAAACATAAAGTTTCTATGAATTCATAATGGAAACCAAACAAGAAGGGAGAAGTAAACTTCATGTTCTGAAGACATGTGATTTATCTAAGTATTCCTGGGTAACTTTTCCAAGTTTTTATACAGACAATATGCCTATTTAGGACATAAGAGGAGTTCAGACCAACGAGCACCCACAGACAGACAAACCCACACAACCTGAATATGCCCTGACAGGAAATTAGACTAAAATGGAAAATGGTAACATGGAGCTATTTCCTTTTGCTCTCAGTGGTCTAACTACCCCAGAGTCGCTCTACAAACTTGATGCTAACAGAGAATCATTCAATACTAATGAGAGGATTTCCAAATGGCTAAGAAAATGAGAGTGGGGAGAAATGATCCAAGAGCGATGATATAAATCAAGGGGTGAAAGCAAGAAACAAGGTTCTAACTCAATATGTTAAAAAAAGAACTAGTGCGTGGATATAATTTTATATTACAATTTAACGTATGTCATATTTTTGAGCAAAATAGATCAAGTGAATGTTTTCAATGAGTCTCCAGACTGTGGGATCTGCTGATTCCCATGCCAGTGTACTCTCTCTCCTCTTTGGTTCCTCTCTTTTTGAATCTTTCTTACCCTTGGTGGCTCTCAACTTGCATCCACACCTGTTTTAGCATTAAAACAGGTAGGAGGCTGGGGTGTGTGTGTGTGTATAGGGCAAACACTCCTGAAACAGACTGGCAGCAATTTGGATTTTAAAAACATTCTCCCTTGCCGATTTTTGAGCAACTCTTTTCTTCCTCATACACAACCTTTACTGAGGGGTTTTAAAAGGAGACTTTTGACACTGGCCAACCATGTGACTTAAGGGTTAAGGAGTCCCCTCATGGGCACTGGAGCACTAACAGCCCAGGTATGTGTCCCAGGGACATTCAACCACAGACACAAAAAACTACTTTTCTTATCAAGCAAATTATCTAAGTAGAATTAACATCTAAGTTTATGCTTCTTTGGAAACCATATATTTCTCTTCTAAATCTTTACAGCACTCCTGAGAGTGACAAGGCAATGGTTAACCCTTCTATGTCCCATTTTGGAATCTTGGTGTGGCACCCTAGGATAAACACTCGACCACAAGGTGGGTTTGAACTGCAAGGTTCAAACTCACCAGCCACTCCTCGGAATCCCTATACAGGAACTCACTCAAAGGCACTTAACAACAACAATGTCTCATTTTACTTGTAAAGTGGGACACTATAGTAAAACACTTACTGATGAAGATCAAACACCTTTGGTATGAGCTGCACCTTAATGTAAGGAAAACAAAAATCCTTACCACTGGACCAATAAATAACATCATGATAAATAGAGAAAGATTGCAGTTGTCAAAGACTTCATTTTGCTCAAATCAACCATCAACACTCATGGAAGCAGCAGTCAAGAAATCATATGATGTATTACATTAGATAAATCTGCTGCACAAGACCTCTTTAAAGTGTTGAGGAGCAAAGATGTCAGTTTGAGGACTAAAGTGCACCTGACCCAAGTCATGGTATTTTCAGTAACCTCATATGCATGTGAAAGTTGGACAGTGAATAAGGATGACCATAGAGGAATTGATGCATTTGCGTTGTTATTGGAGGGCAATACTGAAAGTACCACCACCAGACTGCCAAAATAACAAACAAATCTGTGTTAGAAGAAGTACATCCAGAGTGCTCCTGGAGGCCAGGATGGCCAGACACTGTCTCTCATATTTCAGACATATTGTCAGGAGGGGCCAGTCCCTGGAGAAGGATATCATGTTTGGTAAAGTGAAAGGTCAGAGAAAAAGAGGACGATCCCAAAGAGATGGACTAGCACAGTGCAGAGCGATGGGCTCAAATGTGAAGTTGGCGCAGGATCAGGCAGTGTTTTGTCCTGGTGTGCACCAGGTTGCTATGAGTTAGCACAGACTCAATGGCACCTAACAACAACAATAACAACAGTAACACACCACAAGCCTCTGGGCAATGTCTTCCCTGTAACTTAAGGAAAGGAAAGGAAGCTTTTCTTGGGTTCCCTCAAGTTCTTCTTCATCTGGCCTGATGTCTGTCATGTACAGATGATGTCAAGTCTAGGGAAACAGTGTCACCAGGAGGACGTCAATAACATGAGTTCTTCCTTTCCCTCCTCTCCTGCCCTTTGCTAACTGTCCCAGGAAGAATGGAAGGTGCAGATGAAAAGCTCAGGGCTTTCCGCTTCCTTTTCTTAGGAACTAGATTGCTCTACTGAGTGTGCAACCCTTTCATCTCACAAAGCCATCTCTTCCCTGCCCATTCCCATCCCTCAACAAAACACATGACACGGTGGTGTTCTCCTTCCTACGCTTAAGAGAAGAGGTGAGGAGAGGTCAGCGGGGTACTCTGTACTATCAACTGTACAAATGATGCTGGCTCTTGCTCTCTGCTCCGATGTCTGCTCAATCTATGTTCAGCCTGATTCACTGCTGATTATTATAAACCATTTACTACTTAGCAGAGGCACACTGAAGAGCAGATCTCTCAGGAAGAAGTACTTTTTCCATCATTTTCTGATTCTCTCTGTGTGTGTGTGAGAGAGAGACAGGGCGAACTGTGGAGGTGGAAGTAAGAGAGAGTACACAGGGACACGAACCAGAAAGGGATATTAAGTGATTCAGAGGCAAAAATGAATACCTCTGAGAAAAACCACAAAAGGCAAAGAAGGAAGAGAGATAACTTTCTCAAGTATTTTTTATCTTATCAGTAAAGATACCTTTTTTCCTAAAAAATTAAGAGGGACATTACAGGTGAGAAATGAGAAGTTGAATTTGAAGAAATTTCGAAGAGATATTCTTTCTCATAGTCTCAAGTCTTAGTTCCTGAGTGCTGCCATAAACAAATAGCACAAGTGAGTGGCTTTAATGAACAGCAATTTATTTTCTCACTGTTTTGGAGGCTAGAAGTCTCAATTCAATGTACTGGCTGCTCTAGGGGAAGGCTCCCTCTTTCTGTTCAGAGGGTGGGGGGTGAGGGATAGACAAGACCTAATTCTTAGGTTTTGTAGAATCTTCTTCATGAGCCTTGAGCTCTTCACATGGCACTCCATCTTTCCCCCACTTGTGGCTGCTTTTGTGTCCAATCTGCTCTTTCTGTCTCTAAAATTATTCCATTTAAGACACATCCTATACTGCTACGGCCTCATTAACGTGGAAAAAGAGCCCCATTCCAAATGGAATTAAATCTAGAGACAGAGGATAGGATACTAACACCTACTTAGGGGGCACAATTCAACCCATAACAAATGATTATTTCAAGAGATCAGCTGATGAGCTTTCCCTCCACCACCACCAGCCTGGCCATCCTGCCCCACTCTGCACCCAAGTCTTCCAAAACACTGACCTTGAGCTGCTGCTACTGTGTGTATGAGTGAAAGGATGAATGAGTA